GCTATCATTTGTTAAGCCCTTATTGTGTAGCAGTCATTCTGTTAAGATTTTTATATATACTATTCAATCATTATGGCATTCTTTCAGATTGATATTACCATGTTGTTGTTTTTTTACAGTTGAAAAACTCAGGATACTTACGTTTATAATTTTTTCACTGTAAATGTATTTCATATTCTTAATTTATTTTAATTAGTCTTTAATTAGTGTGCTATATCCTGTATATTATTTTAATATTATAATCTCAGCTTGTTTTTATTGCCGTGAGTAAAACGTGTCAGAGTTCCATAATATAAAATGAAGGACACATTTTTTATCACTCCCTGCAGAAAAACTGAATAGATGCTCTTAGTATTGGTTCCTGTACTTCTCCTATTGCCCCCAATTAATGATCTTAAATTACATTTCATTAGCTAGAAACAGTAGCCATTTATTTCTTGGAGAGGGGCAACTATATATATTGCTTTCTTTCCATGAAATATTTTTACCTTTAGAGTCAGACAGTCTGTCTTACTTTTTAGCTCTGTTTCGAAATATTTTTAAAAGGTTTCTTTTCTTTTTGCCTTTTGAGTAGTATATAAACTACTCAAAAGGCAAATTATGGTTTCATAAAATTCACATTCCAGTAGTTCCTTTGAATCCTATTCAATACAAAGTAGTTTTTCCGCTAATAGCAACAATGAACCTGAACTGTTTTAGTACTTTTATTATCACTGAGACAGGTCACAAATGTCAGAACCAGAGTTGGTGGCTTAAAGGGGTGATGTTCTCTTAGCCTTACAATGGCACAACCATTGCTCTTCTCTGAATTCTTATCACTACAGCATAAGGAAAGTATGAGTAACATCCAATTACAATATATGGCATTATATTCACTTAAGTTGCAGTTAATTCTGAGAAAATTTGTACTATCTTTCTCTTTGTACCTTAGCTCCTTTGATTTTCCTTGGTCAAGGAAATTAGTCACTTTCCACTAGCCTTTTTATTTATTCTTTTGATGTCATCCAAAATATTTTGTCTGTTCTTTCCTCAGCCTAAGAGCTTCCTAAATAGAAGCTCCTCCCTCCTCCCAGCCCTATTTCTTATAGTTTTGTGTTTTGCTTTTTGTCAGGAGTGAAAAACATGTGGGTGGAAAAGAACATCGGACTTCATGAACAGCAGACTTGGATTCTAGTCCTGGCTTTGTCATTAACTAGCTCTGTTACTCCGGGCAAGTCACTTGCCCTCTGTGGTTCATTTCCCATCTGTAAACAGGGTGGCTAAACAAGATGACCTGAGGTTAGTTCCAAAGGGAGAACCATTGGCCTAAGACATCAAATGCAGGTGAGAAGGTAGGAAAGTAATACGGTTTCAGGAAGAGGATTTTGGTCTTCGGTTTTGAAGACTAGAGGAGCCAATGGTCGTCTACGTCATTCATTACCTCTGGCATTCCCTGGTGCGAATGGATATCTAACAGCTATCATTATACTTCCATTCAGGGCATGAGATTTTAAAAGGGATTTTAGAGGTCTTCTGGTCAACCCCCTTGATTTTATAGATGATGAAATTGAACCCCAGAGCAATAGTAATATGTGCTGTTACTACTACTAGTGACAGCTGCCATGAGATACTCAGAATCTTCCTGCAAGATTGTGTATTTCAATAGAGTCTATTCTTTATAATAGTAGCTGACTGCAACTATTATTATAAACATGCCCCATCTTTGTAACTGCTTCTGATACTCGTGATTGTTTTGCTCGTATTTAGGAATAAAATATGAAAGAAATGCTTTGCTAGGGACAGTACCAAGTTTTCACTACATCTACTCTAGCTTCTGTATTTAATACTTTAAAATTTTAGATACCTTTTAAACAATTTGCTTAATTTTGTATAATTTTCTTTTTTCTTTTGTTAATCCTCATCCAAGGAGATTTTCCATTGATTTTTAGAGAGAGTAGAAGGAAGGGGGAGAGATGGAGAGAAACATCAATGTGAGACATCAATTGGTTGCCTGCTACACAAGTCCCAACCAGTACTAGGGATCAAGACTGCAACTGAGGTACAAGCTCTTGACTAGAATGGAACCCAGGACCCTTCAGTCTACGGGCAGACACCCTATCCACTGAGCCAAACCAGCTAGGGCTTGTGCAGTTTTCTTAAGCATAGCATCCAAGCAATTCATGTGATGGTTACAATCTAAATTATTTAAGGTATAAATGCCTATTAGATCTACCTCACTAAGGAACTTGGTTGTATTTCTTGGGCATTTTCCAGATCCCTTACAGAAACTGCTGTTTCTCTTTGCTATCTTTAAACTTCTTTTCAATAAGGTAAAAATAGCGGTGGATGTTTCATATTCTCCCAAAGTAGTTCTTCAGTTATGCTAGTTTCAGAGTCCTGCCAGTAGGGCCATATGTTCTCCAAACTTGTGAGGATTTTGTTGGTGTTATAAAAAGTATGTTAAAAAATAAGGCCTTTTAAAAATATCCTAATAGACTTCCCTTGTATTATTACTTAAGTTTTCCTTTGTTCTAATGTTTACTATTTCTCAGTACTTTTATTGAAGGACAGAGGAGAAAGGTATCTTGACCATTTTGTTTCTCTGGAAGACTGAGCAATAGAAATCCTTTTATTTGTAAAGTGAATTATTACTCATACTATAAGGACTTTCTACTTTTAAAATGTATTCAATCATTGCTTGCCATTTTTTTTATTAAGGTATTACATGTGTGTCCTTATCTCCCCTTTGCCCTCCCTCCCACCCCCCCTGGTGTCTGTGTCCATTGGTTATGCTTATATACATGCCTACAAGTCTTTTGGTTGATCTCTTCCCCCTTACTCCTACCATCCCCTCCCTTCTGAGTTTTCAGCAAGGTTGAAAAAATTTCTGAACTACAGAATGTTTGTAGCCAAGTGTGTGATCGAGGCCAGCCTGAAGTCATGTCTACACCCGAGCCTCTTCTGTTTTTAGTGCAGCTGCTCGGACACCCTTGATCGCCTGCCACTCCTCCACCATTCCACTCCACCTTCCTAAACAGCCTCTTTTGCAGAGCACCTGCCAGGGTTTGGCCTATGAAGACTACTGGTGCTGAAGGCTCTGCCTTTTACTAGCTTCATAAGAGTCTTGCTCTGCAAACAGGATCCCAAATACTTTGGGATCTGTCACTATGTTGTATTCGAAATAATGAGTTCCTCATTAGTTAACACTGTGAAGTTTCTGCCTCGAGCGATGGACTGCAGTGTTGAAAGACATCTTTTTTTTTTTTTTTTAATGATCCACAACAGATGCTCCAATCTCCCTTTAAAAGACCAAAGGCTGCCTATATTGCATCAATTTTGGGGCTTACTAAGATTGTATGTTTTTCTAATGTTTCACATTAAATAATTTTGCTGGACAGTTCTTAAAATACTCGCTGGTAAATACTGTTAAATCGTTGTTGAGCAAACTGTGCAATGCATATTAGAGGGGAGGGCATTCTCCTTTGTGCTGGGACATGGGTATATGTGTTACCTATGCCGAAATAAACCCACCATTCATTCCAGGACCAGAAGGAAGGATTACTGCAGATAAACTGGTTATCCTAATAAGCATCACTTTAAGGCAGTAGCTTAGGGGTGTCGAACTCAATCAGAGAAGGGGCCAAAATCTAAAATCCAGCCTAAATCGCGGGGCAAATGGTTTACTGAACAGTCATAAACTGTCATTGTGATGGAAACGCAGCGGAGTGCAGTGATGACAGCGCGGTGTGGGCCACATTGCAAGGCCTGGCGGGACGGATTTGGTCCGCGGGCCTTGTGTTTGACACATGTGCAGTAGCTAATCGTTATCCCTGTCATATGGGTAGCATTTGTCACTGTTAAGTTAAAGACAGAAATATTCTGGGTTAAGAAAAGCAGGTGTTTTAATTCCTTTGATGTTTTAAAAACAACTGACAGAACTGTTGAGGGACCTTTGAAAACATTATAAATTTATTTAATCTTGTAGTTATGTGATGACTTATTTTGGAAGAGGTGCCTGGGACATCAATCTCTAATCATTTTCCATTCATTCATGCAATATTTGGTATGTTGGGAATAATGCAAACCTAAAAATAACTCCGATAATCTCCGTTCACCAGGATTGTGGATAGGCATAATAGTTATATAGCTTAATGCAACCAGATCTGTTTTTTCAAACTTACTCGTCTTTAATAAAATGAAAATGAAGTAAAGTATTTGAACCTTGAACTTAATTCATTTGTTGCTCCTTTGTTGGAGGGAACTGTACAAGCGTTAGCATATGGTTCTTTGTATTGGATCAGAATGCCCTCTGGTGACTATTAACTAAGGACAACTTTAGTTTGGGGATCAGGAGAAATGGTATGGGAACCTACCCCAGTGACTCTAGTTCCCTTTTTAAAACAATTCTGTCTAGAAGAGGTGATATCCCATTAATAGGATCAACATGAAAAATAACATTTAAAAGGGAACCGTTACTGTAATCAGACCTAATGACATTCTTTTTAAAAATATTTTATTGATTTTCCACAGAGAGGGAGAGGGATAGAGAGCCAGAAATGTCGATGAGAAACATTGACCAGCCGCCTCCAGCACCCCCCCCCCCACACACACACACATTGGGGATGTGCCCGCAACCAACGTACAAGCCCTTGACTGGAATCGAACCCGTGACCCCCCAGTCCACAGTCTATCCACTGAGCCAAACCAGTTTCGGCCCTAATGACATTCTTGATCCAGTGACTTCCAGAAACAGGGAAAGAATTTTTAAAAACTTGACCAATTTGGAAGCCATTTGATATGCCAAGGTCATTCTCTTAGCAAAACCCAAGTTCTTTGGCTCTAATGAGCTCTCAAAAGCAGTTTCAGTCCTTCACAGCTGATCCTTTTAGAATTATTTTGGGACTCTTCGGAGTTCGCTCATGAGCCAAAGGGCAACACTGAGCAGAGCCAAGGAGCCTGACTGGTGAGTAGCAGCCAAAGGAGTTGGAACGTACATTAGCAGAGTGCTAATGCCCAAGCCCACCTGTGAGAGAGGAAACCAGGCAGTAAGCAGAGCAGCAACCACAAACTCAGAGCCGAAACGACAGCATCGACAGCCACATACACAAACCTCTCTTCTCCCATCAGAGCATTAAAACAACATTTTTAATTTCATAAGTAAGGATATTTACAATGAAGTAAATTCAAACAAAACCAAAAACCCTAAGTTTTCCTTAAGTATCCTTCACCCTATCCCAGTTCCCTTCACCAAAGGTAGTCACTGTTACCAGTTTCTATACACTTGTACTTTTATATAAATGTTTTGTACTTTAAAAAAGTACATTGTTCTGTCCCTTCCTTTTTTTCACTTAATATATGGCTGAAGAGCTTACTATTTTAAACTGTTACATAATATTCCACAGTATACATTTACCATAGTTACCAACCTAACTACTTAGGTTGGTTTCCAATTTTTCACCATTTCAGCAATTCTATAATGAATTTCCTTACAGATACAGCTCTTTGTGCATTAGAAAATCTGTAGGGCAGGCACAAATAAGTCAATTTGCTGACCTAAGGGATTATATAGTTGACATCATAAAAGATAATGCCAAACTGCCCTCTGAAAAATACCATATAAACTCATGCTCTCACTAAGAATACATGAAGCTGTTTATCTATTTTCTTATACCTGTGCATTACCTGATTATCTTTTTTCTTTCTTTTCCCCCCAATCTGACAATGGCAGGCATTGTTTTAATTTGCTCCTCTGTTATCATGAGTGAGACTAAATAGCTTTTTGTATGGTATTTATTGGCTATTCATCATTCTTCTTATGAGAATTGTATATTGATATCCTTATTTTATCTTCTGGTTATTAACCTTCTAGTCTCTTTTAAGAATTGAAAACATTTTCTCTTAGTTACCTTTCCTTTTTAACCTTGCTTTGGGGACGCCATCAGGCCAAAAAGGAGTGGTTTATACCTGTGTATATGCCAAAGCCAGCAGAGTCGCTGCTGCCATCTTGGTCCTGCGAGGAAGGGGAATTCTCCGGGAGAGGAAATAGAGCGCTGTAATAGCGGTAACTGAAGTGATTCCCTGTGAGGGGAAAAGAGTCCATCAAGTGCCAGCAGGAAGCGCCCCACCCTCCTGATTTCTGCTCACCTTCTATGTATCTCCTCCAGAACCAGCCCCAGGCAGGGGGTCCCTGCAGTTCCACCTCTGGTCTCTGCTCCTCAGTCTCCCTCCCCCTCTTCTGCTGGCCACTTAAATGCATGTGTGCCCAGGTGCCACCTAAAGTTTCTGCGCCTATCACTTTATACTCTTCTCTCGGTGATCTGACCCACCTTCCACTGTGGGTGCCCCAGCATGGCCCTCACATTTTAAAACATTCTTTGCACTCTTATCCCTAATTTTATACCTACAGTAATCTTGTATTTTTAAAGCAGGGCTGACCCCAGCCCATGAGGGGTATTATTATCTGTGCGGTGAGTAGAGGAGGAGGTGGTGTTGCCAGCTATTGGTAGGAAGATCTAAAGTCTCATTTTCATTACTGCCTCTTCAGAACGAGGGGCTGGGACTAGCAATAGGGTCTGTATTCCCCTTTCATGATGGCAAAGAGAATATTTTTATATCAAACCTGTACATCTATTTCACTTCTTTTCCTTTTCAGAGCTGTCCATGGTGACAATTTCAGACTTTGCTTATTCTAGAATGTGTGGCAGGGGGACTTGTGCAGCCCTTGCATTCCCTGTGGACATCTGAGTCCTCTGGACTTATCCGTGTGAATGTATCCTCTCACATTCAACATTCCTCCATCTGTTGACATAGCCTATGTCTAGCTTGGCCCTCATTCCGATAGCCTCATTTTTGCTGGTCATGTTTAAGCATGCCCCCAAAAGAAACTTTGGAATCTTCATCTTTCCTCACCGCATTTCTACAGCAATATTCTATTCCTTACAACCTCTATGTTTCATCATTCTTCTTAAACCCACTCCCATCATGAAGCCTTTTACCCCATCACTCTCACTCTCACCTGCATTCCTGCAATAGCACTGCTGCTTCTCACCAGTCTCTTTGTTGCTCATCTTCAATTTATCATGCCAGAGTACCAGACCGATCTTAATATGACCCATAGCAGGCCCTTAGTAAATATTATTAAGTAAAACAAAAAGTACATATGATGCTCTTGGCTCCTTGTGGGGGGTTCTGGTTCAGCTCTGACAGCTATGTGCTCAGCATCCACTGTCTGCGCACCCTGTTCTCTACTCAGCCTTTTATCTGCTAAAATGACTCTCCTATGGGTATGCAAGATTCAGGGAGGATATTATTTGCTAGATGGTAAAAGGCAGATTCAAACTTTAAGAAGCTGGCATCCTGAAAGCCAGAAATTGGCTGGGATGGTGTGTGGGTAATTAGGAGAAAAACATCACATTAGAAAGCTGCTACTCAACTTCCTCTTTTAAAAAAAGGGGGGGAAATGTAGTGCCCACTCTATCCTCTCACTGTTGTAATCAGTGCTTCGAATACCCAAAAGCCTGTGAGAGGCTCCCTGTTCTTAGTAGCCAGTAACCACCAGCCAGATTTACCAGAATCCGGTGATCAAACTGCACCATAGTAGGGTTCTCAAAAACATTCCTCAGGATGGGAGAGAAGGTGAAAAGGTCTTCTGGGATCCAAGATTCTCCCATCTTGGGGAAGGAGTTGTAAACAAGCCCAGCATCCAGTCCTGCCACAAAAGCCCCTGCATGCCAAGGGAAATGGTATTTATTAAAATGAGAGAAAGAGGAGGCCAAAGTACTATTCTGACACAGAAAAAGTTTATCTGGACGGGGTTAATGAGGGGGAAAAAGGGACATATGTAATACTCTCAATAATAAAGATTTTTTTTTTAAAAAAAACTAGTTTATTATCTCAGAGTTAGATAAAAGGAAGTGCTATTAGTAGGAGGAAAGAATAGAAACAGAGGGCAAAGACGGTGGGTATGAGAAAGGCAGATGTGGAAAGGATATATGAAGTTATAGGAAGAAAGGGAAAAGCATTAGGCAAGAGACCTGAGAGTGGAATGAAAATGGGCCATCTTGAAGAGTCCTACCTGAGAGAGCTGTAAGGAACACCAGGCCTGTTGTTCCGTGAGCAAATCGTCTCAACCACAGGAGCTGACGGGTTTCAGGCAACTAAATAAAAAAAAATTACTCAAGTTAACAGAACTGCAGGAACTACAGGAGGCAGCAAAGATCTCCATGGCTAAATCCAAGTGACAACTTGATATCAAATATTCTGACCTCTAAACGAGGGTAGGTACTCCCAACAGATACTCTGTTCTAACACACATCATATTTTATTAAATGTATACATTTACCACCTATCTTCTCTGTTATCCTGTAAGTTCTGTGAAGGCAGGAACTGCCATCTGTCTTATCACAGTAGCCCTAGTCCAAGACTTGGCTAGGTACTCAATACAAATCTATTTCATAAATACATGATTTGCATTGCAGGGGGACAGGAGGGCTTTGGGGGCCGGGAATATGCTTCGCCATGGTTAAAATGATGTGGCTTAAAATATAGGACTGGACTTTCATCTTGTGTGTGATATTTAATGCTTACTAAATATAAGAATCAAAATTGCATAAAACGCCTATAGTGGAGATTCTTGTATTTTTGGTAAAGTCAAAATTTATTTTTGCTATAGCCAACTTTTGATAGTAATCAGTGAGTCAGCAAATATTTATGAAGAACTTTATAAACAGGTAACCATAAAGATACAGAAGGTGAAGTCAGAGTGCTGCCCTCAAATGCTTTGCAATCTAGTCTGTGAAGAATGAGGTATCATTACTGAGATTTTTGTAGCACAATGTCAGGGCTGTCAAATAGAACTTCTGCAGTGACGGACATGTTCTAGTATCTGTGCTGCCTCCAATAAGTGAAAAATGAGAACTTAAACCGAGGCTAGAGCAATTTAAAATTAAAAAGTTAATTTTATTTAAAGTTGAAGTGAATAACAAATTTGCTTAAAATTAATTTTATTTAACATTAATTAAAATTTAAATAACCGCCGGGACCGGTTTAGCTCAATGGATAGAGCGTCGGCTTGGGGACTGAAGGGACCCGGGTTCGATTCCGGTCAAGGGCATGTACCTTGGTTGCGGGCATATCCCCATTAGGGGGTGTGCAAGAGGCAACTGATCGATGACTCTCTCTCATCAATGTTTCTAACTCTCTATCTCTCTCCCTTCCTCTCTGTACAAAATCAATAAAATATATTAAAAAAAATAAAATTTAAATAACCACATGTAGCTAATTGGATAGCATCTCCAACTATATGTTTGACTATGTCAAGTCTTTTCTGTAATTAGTGGAATATAAATAAATTTTAAAATTTGTTGATAATTAAAAAGTCAGAAGAGACTGTTTGGGAATGAGGGTGTATATGTGAGTGTGTGGTGTATATGTATAGAGGTGGCTTGGGAAGCCAGATGACAAGAAATAAAAGGAAAGAATGGGTTGTCAGGATACAGCCATCATTATGGGCAATCACTTTAGAAATTTGGCTTATAAGGCCAGGAGAACAGCAATTTTTCAGATGTGGATTTGTCTACTATTCCAATGTTTCAACTCCATCTGGCTTCCCTGTGGGATGACTGACAAGTCAACATCTCCCGTCCTTGTTGGAATCCAGGTCACTGGCTCCAAGTACCTATTGGATGATTCTACTTAAAAGTTCTACTGACATCTCAAAGTCTACTCCATGAACAGATTATCCAGGTCAACCATGTCTTCAATACCTAAAATATTGTTCATTAGAAAACACACACCTAGAAAAAACTTTAATCAGTCTACTGAGAAAATACTTGTGGCAAGATCACTAAGGTTTACTGTAGTGTTCGGCTTGATAAATGGCAGGGCTCTATTTCAAGAACCAATAACCCAATATGGCTCTGTGCACACCACAGGGCCAGAAATCGCTCTTGTTCTGGCCTCCTTGCCTCGCCATTCCCATCCCTCCATAGAGTAGTTGTGATATCTCTTTTTCTTTTTCTTTTTTTTTAATATATTTTATTGATTTTGTACAGAAAGGAAGGGAGAGAGATAGTTAGAAACATCGATGAGAGAGAGTCATCAATCAGCTGTCTCTTGCACACCCCCTACTGGGGATATGCCCGCAACCAAGGTACATGCCCTTGACCGGAATCGAACCTGGGACCTTTCAGTCCCCAAGCCGACGCTCTATTCATTGAGCCAAACCAGTTTCGGCTGTGATATCTCTTATTGTTGGTACTCAGTCCCGCTTTTTCTAAAATTCATGTTTTCACCTTTTCCAATAGGCAATGCTGACAAAATACTCATCTCTTATACTACTCCTTTTTTTTTTTTTTTTTTTTAAATATATTTTATTGATTTTTACAGGAAGGAAGGAAGAGAGATAGAGAGCCAGAAACATCGATGAGAGAGAAACATCGACCAGCTGCCTCCTGCACACCCCCTACCGGGGATGTGCCCACAACCAACGTACATGCCCTTGACCGGAATCGAACCTGCGACCTTCCAGTCCGCAGACTCTATCCATTGAGCCAAACTGGTTTCGGCTACTTCTCCTTTGAGTGAGTTTCTCCAGCTCAATAACTGCATGTTTTACTCTGCAATCTCAAAGCTATCCAGTCCCAAAGTTTAATATTCCTCTAAACTTTGGTTTTATCTGGTTGCTGGTAAATTGGTAGATTTGGGAATATGTACATTTTGACCTAACTTCCTAGTAGAGCCGGAATTACCTGTCAGCCCTTTGTAGAAGCTTAACAATACAGACCGCCTTTTACCTTGTGCTGAGGAAGCAGCAGTGAGAGTGAAGTCCACAAGCTGGCGCAATAAAGAACCAGGGCTGATCCCAGGTGGGCAGCCAAGCGGTACTGACTGACCCGAGGGATGTCATGAGAATCTGGTTTTTCTTCTAATCCACTTTTCACCATATACCATCCCAACAGGCCCTAGAACCAAAAAGAGAAGAGGCAAAGAAAACAAATTTGAAACTGTCTGTTCAACTCTGCTGTCGGAGAAAGTGAGTTATCCATTATCAGGCATCCTCCCTGCCTTACACTTCCTTTCCATGCCCCTCCCATTTCCTCTGTATCTCAGGAATCATGACTTACCCACATTTCCACATACAGCACCATAAATATTTAACTGCTGATTAGATTACCATTTTATTGGAGTATAAGTTAAATATAGAAAAGCATACAAAAGCTTTTCTGTGGGAAGAACCTTATATGTATTATACTTGACATGAAATATGTGAACCAGTGAAATATGACAATAAAAAAGAGCTCTTTCTATAAAAACCAGATTGATTGTTTTGGAAAGCTTGAGAAAGCTTAAAAACAACTACTGTCAAGTTAGGTAAGAATAGAAAATTAAAAAAGCTTTGTGGGGGTAAAAATCTGTAAGGTTTTGCAGTCAGACTGCTTTGCAAATACCTACGTTTTCACTTCTCTTAAGGGAAATAAAATAAAATGATAGTTTATGGGGGTATAAGAGATCTGAGCTTCTACTTGGTTCATAATTTCATAATTTCCACGTTAAATTAACCAATTCACTTCCTCCTGATCATTTTGATATTTCTTTGATGTCTTAATACTCTCCCTTCGGGCCTGTATACTTCGACCCAAATATTCATGTCTTTTCTAATACCCTTTTCTTGGCTTTCAGCCTCAGAGTCACTCAATGATCCTTTCCTATCATTTATAGCATATAGTACTTAATACCTCTGAGCTACATCTATATTCTAAAATTCCTCATCCCACAAACTGTTTCTCTTTTGGAATTTTCTTATTTGCTTCTCTAGCCATTCTACCATAGGGATCCCAGTTCTGCACAGAACTGGCAAGATAGAAAAAAGAGAAGAGATGAGAATCCAGGAGAGCTGTGGTGGGAAAGAAACTAATTCTTGTGACACAAAAATATATTTGAATGCTTACTGATTCCAGGCACTAACCTAAGTTCTTTATATGCATGATCTCATTTAATATTCACGCAACCCAAACAGTAGGTACCATTATTATCCCTATTTGCAGGCAAGGAAAGCATAGCCTACAGAAGTTAGGACTTGCCTACTACGTGGTCAAGCTGGGCCTTAAAGCCAGGCATGCTGTGCTAAAAGCCACACGCTCACTTATTCTGTAAAACAATGCCAACTAGAAAGCTCTTAGGAACATCTTGTTTCCCAAACTTGAATAAGTCACCTGGAAGCATACTAAACCACAGAGGGCAAGAACACGTCCTTTCATGTTGTGGCTGAGCCAGCCCTTTCTCCAAAAGTAGGCAGCAGGCAGGATGTATGCAAGGCCTACAAGGCGACCCCACATTCGGTGAGAGTACTCCATGTACCAGATGAACTTGAATTCTGCCAGCGTCATATCATGATTTAAGCTGGGGGAAAAGGGAAATAAAAAAATAAGCAAGAGGAAACATC